TTTGCCGTTTTCGGAAGGGTACAACATTATAACAATCATTTTTATTGTCGACAATAAATATTAATGTTAGAGCATTGTTTCCACTGAAAATTTCAAGGTAATTTTTTTTCGGGTAGCCTATAGGTAAAATCGAGGGTAAAATTAAGTTAAAGAAGCAAACTCAATTTTGAGTAATCCTTATCAAGAAAAAAAAAATTCCTAGCGATCAATCGAATGGAATAGGTAAAATTTACCACAGGAAACCATACTTCTCCCTCAAACAACACCATGATAACGTCATGCTCGTTTGGCTACACTAACTGACAGTTCGTTTGGCTACATTATACTTTTCCTCTGCTATCTATGGAATCTATAGTATCTATTAGGTACTGCAGCGTGACGTCACGAATGAACTCAGTGTTAATCGGCTGAACCTTTTTGACAGTTCAGTGGTACTGTTTACAAGCACTTAGTCGTTTTTTCGAAAAAAAAAATCTAAGATTTCCGAATTTTAACTTGAAAATTGTCGAGGAACAGCGCGTTGCAAGGATTTTGCTCGTGAACATTGCAGAAATGTGGTTTACATCTCACTGCAGTCTGAAAAAATATCGAGAAAATCCACCCAAGAAAAAATCGACTAAGTCCACGTAAACAGTACCACTAAACTGTCATCAGATTGAGGTTAACCCCGACGGTGCAAAACCTAATAGTAGAAAGCTAGTGGAAAATTCAATACGAATTATATTGTCGCTAGACTTGAAAACCCAAATGGCCAACTCGAGACAACTCGATTTTACTCTCGTTATGTACGTTAAACATAACGTCGCATCTAGTGCGCTGTATTCGTCAAATGATGCGCTATAGTTCGCGCTAGATGCGACGTTATCTTTAACATACACAACAAGAGTAAAATCGATTGTCGCGAGTTGGTCATTTCGGTTTTCAAGTCTAGCGACAATACACAAGTAAATGAAAACTACTTTGACCCGCTTTACCTAATTTTGCATGCACGGTGTTTCGTGAAAACCCATTTATGGGTAAAAATACCCATTTTCAAACCATGTATGAAGCTGTCAAAAAATGGGGGAATTTGTAAATCATAAAATGGGTGAAAAAATACCCATTTAAAGAATCAGTTCACGATTGCATAATGGGTATATTTTCTACCCACTAATGGGTGAAAAAACACTTTGAAATTTTATCGTCTCATTCCGTCACCGACCATTGGGAATGCAAAAAGTTTCTGTCCGCTTTTTTTTTAGCAAAAATGGACAATCTCTGGAAAAGGTTAGATTCCGAAACGTTGGAGAGACTTACGGATAAGTCTATACAGTTTTATCCAATGTGATATTATAATATCTCGTGTTATATATTTTTTTTCACTACAAATGCATTTATTCTCAATGTAAATATTAGAAAGTTTTTTTTATATCAACGAAGACCAGCATCCTCCATTTGAAGAAATGGGTATTTTTTTACCCATTTTACGAAAAACACAATTCAAGAAGATGGGTCAAAAACACCCATTTATTGACAGATCCCCCATTTACCCATTAATGAGTAAACCATAGTTTGCCCATTAAATGAGGAGGGGCACTTTAAGCGGAAATGGGTGTTTTTATACCCATTAATGGGTTTTCGCGAAACACCGTGTGGGTTCCTGCACCATGCACTGAAACAAATCGACATGTACGGTTTATTGGATCCATCTTATAACATATAAATCTCAGAAGATTTATTCATTCTATGTGATGATTGATAAATTGGATTATCACTTAAAAACTATGACTGCGGTATGAAAAGATTTCTATCGTGATTTCACATACTTAGTACATGATATTCCAGCAGGCCTGGGTTCAATCCCAATCGGCGCCGCCGGGATGTTCTGAGGCATAACATCTCTGATCACGCCTTCCTTCGGATGGGAAGTAAAGCCGTTGGTCCCCGGTTCATGAGTTGATGGGTCGATAGGTAGGGTCCAGGTGTGGGAGCTGCCTTCCTGGCACGTCGGTAGCATTGGTGCTCAGCACGGAAAACAAGATCGACGGAAAAAACAAACCAAAGGACGTTTGTTGATATGTCGCGTGTAAACAGACATGTAGAAACTATTGGACAGTCATTGAAGTTTGCGCTATATGAAAACATGTATATCTTATTGGAATAGCTTCCTTTGATTTTTGACGTTTGAAGATTGTAAACAGATCTATCCTAATCATTAGATAGGCATATAGATTTGCCTTTTAGCGAAGCCAACAAATCAAGAAGACTGGCAACTTTGCTAGAATACAAGCGACAGATACAGTAGCGCTGCGCTTGAGTGAAGGTGGAAGCAACGCATAGAAAAATGAGCAAATACACAAACCCTTCTTCTGAGGATGTAATCTTTGCTATCAAATTCGTTCGAAGCATTTACCTTTGAGCGGTAGATGACGCGATTGTACCTGCCTCATATAGCGTTCGTATGAGAAAATGGAAGAGTAGCCAGTCTTCTTGATTTGTTGTCTTCGCTTTTAGGAAACTGAACGGCAAACATTTGTTTTGGCATGGTTTTACATATAATACACGCTAACTTGAAAGTGCCCATTAATGGTTGAAAAAGACCCATTTTGAAGAAAAGTGGAGTAAATTGTTTACCCATTAATGAGTATCTGTTACCCATTAATGAGTAATTGTTAATCATTAATGGGTAACAGATACTCATTAATGGGTAAAATTGTTTAATCATTAATGAGTTAAGCCATTTTTCTTCAAAATTGGTCTTTTTTTTACTCATACTTTCAAGTTAGCGTGTATGATTGTTCTGCCTAAATTATTGAGATAATTTTCAACGATGTTATCGTACACTCATTGAACATGACTGTTATTCGAACTAAATATTGCTAAAAACAATGATACTGCATTGAATAATCTTTATTTGTTATTGTCCCATAAGATCTTCGAGAAAATAATGTATTGAGATTGAAAATAAAAATGTCATATTGCAATATTTACTTTGCTAATATTCTAATTATAAGTCTTCTACACGGCTTATTCAGATTCCAGCACTAGAACTGGAACTTCATGAATCAGTTCTATGAACTCATATAATTTAGTCGTTGATTTATTGCACGCAGGTGCATTCTAGGGTGCATTAAGAAAGAATTGAACAAACGACACTACCGAAACGGAAAATGAATTTATCAGTGCTATTTGTCTTCACTCTGGCAAAACGAGCATAATGTTGCACTACATTTCATGTCGGGAGAGCTGTTCTTACTTCATGCTAATTGAACGAGCTCTATCTCAAAACCAGCCGTGGCCCAGTGGAACCAAGCGAAGATACTGACAGCATCACACCTCAACAGTCCTGGGTCAAATCGCAAATAAGATACAATAAAAAGTAATAGGTTGTATCCAAGACACGACCGTAGATTTGACGTAGGATTACGTGCTCGGTATCAATATTCGGCGACTGTGTTAGGGAAAGCGCTTTTTGCAGCCAATCGTTGATAATTTCAATCATCATTGCGGTTAGAGATGAACCAGCCTAAGGCTGAAAGTCTTGTTAATAAAGGGGAAAAAAAACATCATTACAACAATCGAACATTTGAATAATTTTCAATAGTGACCTATTGAAAAATGATACATTATTCATTTGAGCAGATTTGTAGAAAAATTTCTAATCGATTGACTTGTTTAGAATTTAACTCCATCCGCTATTGACAGAATTATAAGTGATGAAAACCTGACCAGTTTTCGTAACGCGGTCGATTTTGGATTTTTGAAATTGCAACCCCAATATGTTGCCGAAAGACGTAATCCTACACGCAGAAAAATTTATCGTTGAAACAAAAATATTTGAGGTAAATTTAAACGTAAACTCAGTTTGTTCTGGCCACAAAAATAAACAAGGTTTATTTCAAACGTATTCCATGTTTGAAGTCATGTAATATTAATGTTTAAAATAAAAATAATTTTACGTTTATTTTTAAAATATTCGTGTTGAAAATAAACGTGAATATTTTTGTTTGGTTTGACAACAATGCGAACAAAAATAAATATGTTTATTTTAGATTAATTATGTCACATTTTTAGGGGGGAGGGGGGTTTCGGAAACTCTGACGAGCCATACAAAAAAATAATGTCCATACAAAAAATGTGACTAAGGGGGGAGAGGGCCAAATTTGCGTGACATAATTAATGGACCTTCCCTAATGGTTCTTAACAACCCATTATTTTGTAAGGTCCAATTCCAAAAAACCATAATACATAAGGTTAAAACTTTATGACACAAACGTTCATGTAATGTTCCATTACCATTTCAGTTATAACTTAGCAGGGATTACACAATTTTTAACCATTTTCGGTAAGGTCATGTTATGGTTCGCGTTTATGGCGTGCAAACTATCCAGCTTTCCATGCTAGGTAATGGCGGCCTGTTTGTATGAATAAATGTATCCTTCACTGTGCTTTTTGACACTATCTGGATGTTCGAATTTCAACCCCTTCCTTTTCCCTCTCCCAGGAACAGAAGAAAATGGAACAACATACGCCCTCCAGTTAGTGTCAAAAAGCACAGTGAAGGATACATTTATTCATACAAACAGGCCGCCATTACCGAGTATGGAAAGCTGGATAGTCGCTATATTCAAAGTCTGGCGGATAGAATTTCGATCTATCATAAAGCGGAACCAATTCAATATATTTTAGACCAAGAATTGAAAAGGTACTATGGACTTTTATAAACAAAACGTTGATTATTCTTTCCCCGCTAATCGAACGCAAATTACAGGCATCATCGGATAGGGGAAACTTTCCCCAACCCAAATATGGTGTCAGTTTGCGTAGACGAGCCTTGAGTCACGAGAAAAGGGTTGCCGAAGTTTTGTTAGCAATAGCTGATGTGCTCTTTTCTGTTGTTGGTCGTGATTTGCTCGATTGATTCCGCTATTTGACAGCTCAATTGGTTCCCGAATCCCGAGATTCTATCCGCCAGACTATGAATATAGCGACTATAGAGATTAGTGACGTTTAACGCACGCACACTAGCGGGAGCAACGCCGTGTAAAGTTGTTTATTATTTTCCTCTGGCTAATCTAAAAAATGTATGAAAGTAGATCTGTCAGAATGAGTTTGACATCGATTTGTTATGTATTTTCCTCGGATATTCACTAACACACTCTCACATATCGCACCAATACAACCGGACGTGAAAATCTCTATAGTGCAAACTTGCTCGGTTTTTCTCCATTTGTTTACATTTTGCTAGTTTCGCCCTAATCACAATTTGCTCCGGATATAGATAATAATAATAATAATAATAATAATCGACAAAAACAAAATAACTTCCGGACATCCAATTAAATATATTTCGCCGATGGATTTTTCAAACCGTTGCCGTGGATGCCTTTCAAATGACGAAGACACTCTACGTCCATTGGGAGATTCGTCCACTGCCAGTCTATTCGAAGAATGTATCGGATTAAAGGTAAGCTACTGTGAACATAAGTTTCCAAAGTTAAGACTTCCTTTGCTCCAAGGTATGTGACGGACCGGGACTACCATGGAACATCTGTGGTCCCTGCTACGGGAAGTGCACTTCATGGAGTAAATTCAGACAGCAGTGCTTAGAGACGGATGCTCTGCTGCGTTTTAAATTTGGTAATCTGGAAAAAGCCCCGGCGGAAATAGCTATCGATGCAGATTTTTTAGAGCGAAAGTCGCGTGACAGTGAACCACCAGTACCGTCTTCAGAAATCGTAGATCAAGAGTATGAAATCATTGGAACGGAACCAGAAATCGAAGAAAACATTCATGAGGGAGCGCAAAAACTTCAACAGGATTTGCACCATGAAATAGAAATAGAAATTGCCGAGGAATACGAGGTAAAGGAAGGGATTGTAGAGGAGGAAGTACTAGAGGGGTTTTTCTTGACGGAGGAGGAACAGTTGCAGGAGATTGCTGATACCGATGGGGTAAATACAAATGATGAAATCAATGAATCGACTGACAAAACAGATCAGATAGTACAGAAGAGAAAAGATTACAGCTGTGACAAATGCAATTTGCAATTTCGTAGTACCTTACGGTACGAAGCACACCAGCGTCAGCATCAAGGATTGAAGCCAGAAGTATGTAGAATTTGCAAGGGAGAATTCAACAGTGCTAGGGCACTTTGGCGCCACATGCAGAAGCACGTAGATACGAAAAAGCATGTTTGTAAAGATTGTGGTAAAAGTTACAAATTTGCTACATCCTTGACACTGCATCGCAAAAGCCATCGCGATGTTCCTAGACATATTTGTGACACATGTGGCAAGTCATTCCTCAGAGCCCATGGACTGAAGAGCCATCTTCTGACCCACACGACTGAAACTCCCTTCGAATGCGATAAATGTCAAAAACGATTCAAGAATGAGATCATGCTTCGAAATCATGTGTTTCGAGTGCACGAGGGGACGAAAAATTTCAACTGCTCAGATTGCGATAAAGCTTTCACTACTGGAGCCGAACTGAAAATCCACCAACGAAGTCATACCAACCAGAAACCCTTCAAGTGCTCCTCATGCGATAAATCTTACAAAACGCAAAGCCACCTTTCGGTTCACTTCAGAGCAAGCCACACGTCGGACCGCCCTTACGCTTGCGATCTCTGTCCGCAAACATTTGCCCACAGCAAGGTATTGAAGCAACATAGGCTTACCCACACCGGTGAGCGACCCTGGCCCTGCACAATATGCCACAGGTCATTCCGCCAGAAAAGTACACTATTAACACATACTAAAACGCATAGTAAAGCAAGCCCAACCGAGGAAATCTCCCACGAATCTGTAGTTAAGCTACCTCAAACATTAACAACTTTAGAATAGAATAAAGGATGGTCATCACAAAACAAAAATATAGAATTGTTAGATTTACTGCCAAACAAATCAATTACCTTTAATTTCATCCAAGAACAACTTGCATTTCTTCTTCAATACTTTAGCAGCCTCCACGAAGATCACATCCGGCTTGAGTGCTCCCAGAGACTCCACGTTGAAAATGAAATGGTTCCTCACTCTGCTCAAGGTAACCGCGTCGGCAATCTGTGGATAGCGATACACGTTCCGGCTGCAGCTATCATATCGGGCATCCTTCACGTAGGCCTGGTCATCCTTGTCGATATCGATCACCCCCGGCGAGAAGCACTTCTGCAACAACAAAGCATCTCTCCCGACGACCGGCCGGTTAAGCCGAACTTCCGGCAACAACCGATACGAAGCCGTTGCAACCGGTGAAAACTTTGCATGATCTTTGCCAATTCCCTTCACGGCAAACAACTTAATATCGAACTCGTGACCAGGCCGCATTTTGCTAATCAGAATGTCATCATCGATCGGTCCCACGTCGGATTCCTTGTAAATCGATGCCTGATTGCCCACCGGGACCCACTTTATCTGCCCTGAGTAGATACTGTGATTCTTGTACATATTGTCATTGTTTGTAATCTCGGCGGAATCCTTGTTCTTCTTGGTACATTTTACCTTAAGTTCAAACTCCAAAGTATCCAACGCATTAGCTGGATCGTTCTCGTTTGTCTTGTATTCAAACAATCTTGGATCGGCTTTTAGTGGTATCAATCCCAGCCGGTGAGCCAGAACTTCGTCCTGAATGATCGATGTGTTGTTATAAATATGCACCTTTTCGATTGCCATACTGGGCACTTCGCTCAGCATCAACCTTCGAAAAGCATTAGCGATCGCCGGACTGACTCCAATCATGTCAAACTCCAGTTCATTTTCCTCGTATCGAACGATCACAATCTGCAACTGTTGTTTGAATCGATCAAAATTCCACAATTCGTCTGATAGTCCATAATCGTTAGCATCTTGCTTCAGCTTGTACTCTTCCAGATAGAGTCGAGGTTTTTCCGAAAGATTTTCCATGGCTTCAGGCATTTTCACTGTACTTTTCCGCGACGGAACAGAACTTTTCACGTGCTTTCGCAACGTTCGCAACCGATTTCCGATGTTTTGTAAACACACTCTACTTCGACTGATTCTGCAAACTCACCACTTAAGGCTGTCAGAAAATCATTGCAACTCTACCCCAGCCCTGATGTGGCCTTGCTACACTGAACGAAAATACATGCCAAAAATCAAACGAATCGTCATTCAAAGTGCTCTGTAATGCCATCGGTTCGTTTTCGAATGACAACCCGCATAAACGCGAACCATAAATTGACCTTACCTAAAATGGTTAAAAATTGTTTATAATCCCTGCTAAACTTTAACTGAAATGGTTATGGAACTTTACATGAACGTTTAATGATAAATTTTCAACCTTATGTCACAGCTTATATATTATGGTTTTTTGGAACTGGACCTTACAAATAATGGGTTGTTAAGAACCATTACCATTCCAAATTCTTGTTTTCTCCATACATTTTCAGAAAGAGAACTATATAAGAACGTTTTTACTTATGATTTGAGAACATTAATGGTAATGGTTATGGTAGTCAGTAAGGTCCATTAATGGTTTTGTATTATCGCTCAACTTTACGTGGAATATATCGTGAATTGGTAATCAGTAAATTACAGGCAACCAATTCGCGATATATTCCACATAAAGTTGATCGATGTTACAAAACCATTCGTGGACCTTACTGTCAGTCAAACACAGACATGGTGACAAAAACTGTCAAATACAATGGATTTTGATATTGTTGAAATAAACATGCCTGTGAATTTAATTCAAACATAAATATTTTCGTTTTAAACATGTTTTCAATTAACTGTGAATAATTAATATGTTTAGAGTATAAACATTTATATTTTGGATATAAATGAACAAAATTTGTACCCGTGTTACTTATATCAAATGCGAATCGTCCTGTTTGCAGATGATAATGGCTTTGATATGCATACCCGCATAAACGCGAACCATAAATTGACCTTACCTACAAGAATTTGGAATGGTAATGGTTCTTAACAACCCATTATTTGTAAGGTCCAGTTCCAAAAAACCATAATACATAAGGTTGAAACTTTATCATTAAACGTTCATGTAAAGTTCCATAACCATTTCAGTTAAAGTTTAGCAGGGATTATAAACAATTTTTAACCATTTTAGGTAAGGTCAATTTATGGTTCGCGTTTATGCGGGTATGCCTTCATGATTAATATTTGTATGCACACCATAGCTAAAGAACTTCATCTCAAACGCAACAGATAAATAGATCAAAACACCCTATAACAAAAATCATTCATTTTTCGTGAGGGTGTGTGATAAGAAGTAGAACTACAAAGTTAAATGTTGTTAGTCCTCATGCTAGTCAGACATATTGTAGACAACTTTCTTTAATTTGTGTACTACCTGATTATATCCTCGATTATATCCGAACAGGTAAGTAATAAACAAATTCGCATCGCGTTATTATGAAAGATCTATAGCCTTCATTTATTCCCAAACAGAACGATCAAAAAAGAAAGTGTTTTCACTTCAAATACCAGTAAAAGTTACAAAAGTTTGAAAAGCACCAGCGATGCCAATTCCCACATTAATTTATTTTATTTTCGCAGGGCACGAAACAACAGGAAGACATATACTGACCTTGCCAATTAATATCCTGATCGACGTCAATGTGGAACAGATCCAGCAGGTGGATAACGAACTACAACGAGTGCTGAAACAAGGAACAGTATTCTCTGGCACAGGTATCCCGTGAGCACGAGGACAACTCCGAGACAACACGCCTGCATCACCTGACCCTGGTCCAACCATAAACCATTATGCAGCTCACCTACAACACGGTGCATGCCATGGACTCGGGAACCATTCAGGTTGGTTCAAATTCCAACATGAACACGTAGGACTTTCACCGGTGGTGTTTAGCATATTGAGCAATATTGTCCTTAAGTGTAATTCTTTATTGTTTAAGGAAAATAAAGTGTCTTTATAAATGTTTCTATCATGTAGTAATCATTTTAGCTGGGGAAAAATTCAACATCATATGAATTATGTAAATTTTGAGGTAAATTTCGTTCAGTTTTGGTTTGGTTTTCAGATAGCGAACATTTTAAAATTGTATTCTAGTATTCCAAAATCAGGATGACACGCATATGAAACTCATGGGATAAGGTGTAAGAAAGCGAGGGGGACGACTCTATCTACGATGCAGAAAAAATTGTGTTATGCTGTGGCTAGCTGCACGCACGCTGAGTAGATAGAAAGAAGATTGTTGACGATTCTGAAGATTTCCTGCAAGAAGATGATGGGCGATGCAAGTAGATGCGACAAATGAAAGAAGATTTTTCGAAGATTGATTCGCTAGTGTGTGATTTGTTGAGCATCTAAACTTGAGATTTAAATGTGCCGCCCCCCTCGTAAGAAAGAGCAAAAGATAATCATCCGAATATCTAATGATTAGTGTTATACACGGTAACCGCAAAATACCCAATAATGACTACAAAGTAAGCATTTTCGAGGGAGACTGGGACTACCCATTAAATGAGTAACCATATTACCCATTTATGAGTATTTGTTACTCAAAAATGAATACTTACTACTTATTTTTGTAGTTGCAATTACTCATAAATGGGTAAATTTATCATCGAATCAATAATCATACAATATTTATTTGGCGGAGGTTTTCGTTCAGTGCAGTGATGCCACTTCTACAGATTTATCCGAGAACAGTATCCCCCCCGTTAATCCGAGAAATTTGTGGCTGGATTAGCAGGGTTAATCCGATCATCCGACTGTCAAATCCATACAAATCAATGGAGAGTTCTAAGCACAATCTCACGAACAAGGAGGAATAAAAATAGACACGATCGTAGATTTAACGTAGGATTACGTGCTCGGTACACAGAAACAAAATTCATTGGCAAAAATACTATATTGATGGTTTAAATTAAATATTTAAATATTCGAATGAATTTTTTGGTTGGTGAATGAAAGAAACAAATAATTAATCAATAAATCAGTGTCAACATTTCAAAGGGGCGTAATTGCTTTTGTAAACAATGGCTTTAGCCGTCGATTTCTCGCGAATAAAAGTTCACACATGAAAATTAATAAAACCAACAAGTAGAGGAATGTTTCCTTATGATTTGCAAGAAATCGACGGTTAAAGCCATTGTTTACAAAAGCAATTACGCCCCTTTGAAATGTTGACACTGAAATATTCTAATTTTCATGATTTATTCTGAAAAAAGTACAGTAGATTAGGTAAAACATATACTGAGCGCTATGGTAAACTTTACTGATCGTTAAGTAAAATTTACAGTCCGCAGGTCAGAAAATTTTGACAGCCCACAAGCGAAGAAAATTTACCGAAGGGATTGACAAATCCAAGTTTCAATCGGCCACCTTGGAGCTGCAATCGCAGCGGTGATAAGTCCGAAATAATGTGTCAAACTGAATACATTTTTGAAATTTCAACCAAAAAACTATTATTTTGTATTTATTCTAGCGAGTTTCTGTGGGAGTCAAAACATGATCCGAGCAAAAAAGTAGTACTCGTAATAATGGTATATAATTCTGAATTTTATCGTGCTTTAATCGTGCGAAAATATCTTCCAAATAAACAAACATCATCCAGATCACCCGATTCGTCCACCGACTAAATCTATTGCCACTTAAAAATTAATTTCAGTCGGTGTATTAATCAGCAGATTAAATCGTTTTTCGTCTGGTGCTACACCGAGCAATTAGTTTTTCGTCGATGGATTTAGTCGGCCAACTTTGTCTGCTGTTTAATCGGCAGATGATTTCAAACCTTAACATGTTTTCTGTAATTTACCTGTCTTGAAGTAGCTTTTTATTTAGGAACAATGCATTACAAAATAATTTTATGCATTTTGTACAAGGTTCATCCATGCTGACAAGAAATTTGCATGAAATTACATTGAAATTAAACAATTTTGCAAACAATCAATGAAATTGTCAACGGCTGTCACAGACTTATCACCGTCGGTTAGTGCTTATTCCTGCCACAAGGCGCGGAGGAGTTTAAGTTGGATTTCTCAATTGTAAATTGAAAAATTATCGAATGGATTACCGAATGTTCAGCTGCTTCATATTCGGTAAAAATTTACAGTATACTGTAAAAAAATCTTAGTGTGCGTGGTATTTATCATTTTAGTAACGATTATTTTTTGTGTGTAGTTTCCATAACACATACCCGACCAACCATTTCGTTAATTTTCTTTAATTTTCTATACATCGATCTTCAAAGCCATTCATAAGAAAAATCGATAGCGATCGTCACCATTTCATGAATAATTGTAAAGATGCTAAAAGTCTAATCGCGAATCGTTTATAAAGATCTTTCTCAAAATATTGCTATCACACGCTATTAATGTTAAAATATCGATTGTGTTGCCAGATCAAAATATCGATTTGTGTTGTAAAATCAAAATATCGATACACAACTGCTGATTTTATTTGTGCTTTTTTATCTGCATAATTTCTAGTTTCGATCCCATGCCATCTGGGGTGTACTGATTTCGTTGTTGGTTGCTAATCCTCGGGTCCATGGCTGCTATTGATGAGCTTAACAACGACAGGCAAACACACTCTAGTATGGGCCTGGGTACTGCGGAGTCGACCAATTTTATTTTGCAAGCCAATGGAAAACTGCTTGAAAATTTTCTCTAGTTTAAAATTGATTTGCTCTTTCTCAGTTGATTCCCGCCAAAAGCTCTGAGCCAGGAGTGCTCGAGCCCCCATGACTCTATAAAAGTTTGTTTATATCAAGGGGTTAGTCACTCAGCACAATGTGCCGAAAATAGATTTTGCATAGTTGGGGCACATTACCGGCACGTTTTCGTATGTATCAGATTATAATTAAAATAAACCGGGAGCACTGCCTGGGTTGCTATTGACAACGGTAATTGATGTTGCGTGTACGTAAACAAACGTGAATCGAATTCTTTTCGCTAGACACATTGTTTCCAAGCTAACGGTATTTATTCATTAAAATGGAACATTCCAACATAGTTGTGGTAAGTAACTGACTAAAAATAGTTTCCTTCAAATAATATCACATGTTTCCGTATCTCCTCCGGTTTTAGAATTTTTTCTGGAGTAAGCTGGAGGAAGAGTACGGTGCGGTAAACTTCCATCTAAAAAATATCCTCACAATTCAAAATCTGTGCAGTCAGTCTCTTGGGAGGCTGACAAGCGACAACATTAAAATTATAGAGGAAGACATGCGCGGTATGGCTGATTGCCTGAGAGAAGAAGCACTAGCGGGTGGAATGCCCCTGAAAGATATTTACGGGAGAAAATTTGCATCGCATCCAGAAAACTTCAAATTCATGGAAGGAGAAACGTTGTGTTTGCTGGATCTGGCAGGCATTATGAACAATCGTGGAGTCAACCATTTTTTAAAGAGAGCCAAGCGACAAAATCAACGGCAGATAAGAAATGCTCAGCCACCATCCGATATGTCCAATAATGACGGTGATCCAAGTGATAAGGACGTTGAAATGGAGTTACATGCCCGAAAATTACAAACGAAAATTTTGCTCTATTTTTCTTCGCGGTAAGTATTAGTTTTAATGCTTCTATAGCTTTCAAACTAAAAGTTGTTGAACTAATTTTCTTTTCAGAAAAGGTCAAGACAAAATTTTTGATGATTTCTTGGTTAAACTACAAGATCTTCGTGTGGAAGTTTACACTGCGGGCAATAAAATCCAAGCTTATGTCACGTGTCCAATTTGCGTTGAAAGTAAGCAATCGAAAATATCACTCAATATGGACACAACAGGAAGCTGGCATATGTTCGCATTTAAACGACACTGCGAAACATTTCACATCCAGCTGCCACATTCATCTGGTAGGAAGCGTCGTAGCATCACACCAGATATTACTGGCGAAGACGAAAGTCCAGTTAAACGACCGTTTATGAATTCAACAGCTGATATTGTACAAGGTATGTTAAGAAGAAGGATTTAGTAAGATCATTATAATATTTATATTTTAGACTTTAAGCATACGCTGCGTGACACGGAATTAGATCCGCTCCATTTTGCTACTGATGGGACGGACAGTGAGATAATCGAATATTTATACGAAATTATGTATGAATCTGAAGGTATGTTCAAATTTCAATATTCCAGCAGGGGGTGATCCATTAACTATGTTCCGTGAAATTGTGAAAACATTAACACCTCTCCTCTCTTTCATTGCTCGCTATCTTATTTATTTATTTCTTTATTTATTGTATGTTATCAACATACTAGTTTTGTTGCTAGTTTGGTGTCCAAATGATAAAAAGTTATCTTAAAGCTAACAAAAATTGTCGTAGAAGAGAGTCGCGTGACATGTCAAAATCAAAAACTGAGGAGACTCGGTTGAACGTCCGTTGGAGGGCGATTAGCCTGGAATTCGCGGCATAGTTAGTTCTCCTGAGTGGGATCCTTAGAATAGAGTTGCCTCAAAGCACACGGGAGCGAGCTTGAACATTAATGTTGCCGAGCAGGGCAGGACAATCCATACGGTCAGTTAGAATATCAGCGATGACAAGTGCCTTAGCCACCTCACGTCGTGTTTGGAGGGGGTCCAGGTGGATCATGAGGCAACCGCTCTCGTAGCTCCGTAGATTAAAGGGATCCCTCCAAGGCAATCTTCGTAGAGCGTATCTGATAAAACGTCGCTGCACCGACTCGATTCGTTCAACACCATTTTGGAAATGAGGGTTCTTAACTGGAGAAGCATATTCCAATCTCGTTCGTACCAGGGAGCAATAAAGTGATTTCATGCAGTATACATCTTGGAACTCTTTTGCTACCCGAAAAATGAAGCCAAGGTTTCGTGAGGCTTTTGTGTCTTATATATTATTTAGTAACATAATTCCAAATCCACCTCCTCGCTTAGAGCGTTACGTAATTAATGGATCGCCTATAGCACACAAATTAAGGGCATGTGCTAACATTACAGTTGGGAGTAATTTTTGGTTTTAATTTGTTTTAATCACATATTTTATTTCATAACTTAGGTACAGGTGTTGAACAAGCCGAAAAAAATAACGAGTATGCTTCTGAACCTGAGATCGTGTATTTTGAAGAAATTGTATATGAACCTCAAGGTAAATAGTATGCGGGATCAAAACATTTTATTTATTGTATTACAGTAAGGATCCGATCTTGTCTAATATTCTAAAAAACTCATGTACTTTTAACTTCTTTTCATTTCATCTTCAAGATAGATAAATAAGGTATATTGTGATGCAATAAGATAGCTATATTGCATCACAATATACCTTATTTATCTATCTTGACAATGAATGACAAAGATTTTTAATTACGGTTAAGTTAAATTATTGAAAGATAAAAGTCTGATGCGTGAAAGGGCTGACAAAATCGTGTCATTACTATAACATTTTCAGTTACTTTTTAAATACAAGGTTTGAATATTGTTTGCCATTTTTGACTTCACGGTTTTTCTTATAATACTTTATTTAACAATCCAGGTTCAGATCAACAATCTGATGACATGGAACAATACGAGGACCGAGAAGTGAACGAAAATTCAAATGAACAGTGGTTCACAGAAGAGCACGAGAGCAAAGAAGTGATCGAGGACCCAAAGAAGCATGAATACACAGACGAGTACGACGACAAAGAAGAGAACGAAAATTCAAATGAACAGTGGTTCACAGAAGAGCACGAGGACAAAAAAGAGCGCGAGGAGAAAGAAGTGTACGAGGACCTTGACGAGGACTCAATAGAGCACGAGAGCATAGAAGAACACATGAACCAAGACGAGCATGAGAACAATGCAACGGTCGAAAGTAATAATTTAATTCACAAATTTTAGTTATGCTTTCTTATGATGATCAATTGACAGGATCTGCAGATTACTCGGAAAACCTTGCGGAAAACTAAGTTGTTGGGACGAACCGGTCGAACGTCTCAACACAACAAACAAAGCGACCGACAGAAGAAAAAAGTCAAGTCCACTTCTTAATCTTCACGTTGAGCTGAATGCACGGTCAAAATTGTGTATGCCACGTGGAATGCGGTATACAGAATCTGAGCTCGATGCAGCTGCCTATGAATTAATGACTGCTGGAAACAGCAGTTATCAATTTAAAAGAGCAAACATGCAGCTTCCTAGTTCAAAAACAATAAAACGACATATCGCAAGGCACACTACAGAAACTCAAGAAGGAGTCTTAATGGTGATGCCCCTGCTTAAGTATCTAAATGCGCACAACTATCCATTAGTAGTAGCTTTGAGTGAAGATGGAACAACCCTTTCACCAAACCCGGAATATGATTCAAGAAATGATGCAATTCGTGGCCTAGTGGCTCCTTTAAACAAGTTTGGTATGCCTGAACAAGATGTTTTCAAAGCCAGTTCAATCAAAAAGATCATAAACGATCTTGATCGTTTTTCTAATGGTGAATACTTATATGTTGTATTAGCAACACCAATGGCTGTCGGAGCATCGCCATTTTGCGTGCTGTACACGTGCAGTGATAACAGATTTACACATGACCAAGTTATGTCGAGGTGGGCATTTATAGAAACTGAATTGCTGAAAGTTGGCATAACCGTCATATCGAACGCGTCCGATGGCGATCCACGGCTTCTCATGGCTATGCGACAAAGAACAAAAATACCAAATGGATGTCCAAGCGAATCATACGGCCTTCACTTTGTCATAGATATGGATGATAAACCAATCTGCATTCAGGATAGTATTCACCTAGTCAACAAATTTCGTCATACCTTGTTAGACCCCAAAAAACAAATGCGTTTAGGTAAAGATGCTTCTCATTCTTGTTCTCATCACAATTTTTATATAATTAATAACTTATATCTTCGACTTCAGGTGACTATGTAATTTCGCCTGCAGTCCTCAAACAAATGATGGAAAACGGACAAAAAGTTATACACAAACTAAATCCTTCTGATTTGAATGCGGCGGACCGAATGAAATTTGATCCGTCAATGAAACTTATGTCGTTGAATCTAATTGATCATTTAACCACAGTGGTACCTGGCAGTATCGGAACAGCTACATATTTACGAATAATGCGTAATGCTTATTTAGTATTTAACGATCAACAAATGTCTCCTACAGAACGCATAACTTCAATATGGTTTGTTACAAAATGATGATACCCAGTATGACACAAATATGTTTCAACTAACTTCTTTCTACAGGACTACCTTATTATTTGTTCGTGCATGGCGACGAATTTGCTTAAAGCATCAGAAAACACTAAAACAGTGCCCTACATCAAATGTGTATCATTGTTTAGAATTAAATGCGCATGGCTTAATAAAATTCATTGTCAGATGCCGGAAAGCCAATAGAAGTGAACAATTCATTATCAATCATTTATCAAGTCAACCATGTGAAACTGCATTTCGTGAGCTTCGGTCAATGACAACTGTTAATCACACCGCAGTTAATTTCACCATGAAAGAAGTCGAGCAGCGCATGCAAAAAGTTCAAATGAAATTATTCATCGTGCATCGTAGAAAAACAGAGCTAAACTTTCCGTGCTTGCAGAAGAAACAGCTGAAATCACAGAAAACGCCGATCCATGACCTTCCAAATGATATCCAAATCCGCCAAGCTATCGAGAAAGCTGCAAACGATGCAATACATTTGTTAAACCATCTAGGTGTTGAACAGGAAGATATTGATTTCGGGGAAAGTATGACAATTATAAATTCTAAAACTGAAGCCGAATTTGAATTTGTTTCAATTAAGAACAGTGATTTCATTAACATAGAATGCGAAGGTAAAACACAGTTACATATTGAAAAGTTTGTGTAGGTGATTTTCTCGATAATATTTCAGATAAATACGAAGTCAATGAAACTGCAAATAAGAGTACCGCAGGTTCTGCAGTTGAAGAAAGCTCTTCAAATGAAAATGAAATAGGAGAACACATAATTGAAGCTGCTGAAACGATATTTGCTAACGCTGGTGGAGAACTACTTTTACGCCAATGCTCTTCCGGTAATAATCGTAACGTATTCCACGTAAAAGGAGTAAACGGTAAAAATATGAGCATAAAAAAATCGACAATGCTTTGGATGCTGTCATCAGGTCGTTTTAAAAGATCAAACGACCGCTTGAGACGGTTTCATCGTATTAGAATGATTGCACCAACAGGATCAGTTAACGCTAACTGCATGCAGCATGAAATAACTATCGGAGATTGGATAGCACTACATGGTCGCATAGTTTGTCATGTAACTAACTTTCAATACCAGAGAGGTAAATATAGCTGACGCACATAGGATATTTGCTAATACCTTTTTTATCTGCAGGAAAATCTAAAAATTGTCCACTTACCACTGTTCCTAGAGAATGCCCAACGAATGTGGAGCGAAGGGGAATCTTTCTCTTAGGAAATTTTTATTCAATATCCCAAGCTGGAGGATTAGTATTGAACAATAAAAACCACCACAAATCGGATATTGACCACTATATTACGCACATCAAAGCGCCGAGCAACAAGCTTTCGCTGTCGGATGATACATTGTCGTATCTACGCACATATGATTAAATATAAAATACAATAAGCTATCACTATAAGGAAAGTTTTCTTCGTCTACTATTATGTTTCTTCTTCAATTGGATCGGAAGTACGTCCCAAATTATGTCACATAAACATAAAACCCTCGCTAGCCACTCGTTTTTTCACATTCGGATATGCCCACAATGCCCTGATTCACTCTAGGGGCTGTCCATATTTCACGTGGACACGTTATGACAGGTTTTAGATACCCTCTCCTGCTGCGAAGACAATCATCCATCTATTTTTTTTTAATTTGTAAGGACCGGGACATTCGATAAACTCCACCACCCATCCCATGAGCTGTCAATGTGGTATATGGATAGCCCCCTATTATACTCAACGTTACCTCCGTCACGTTTTATCCTCTCCAACTCACTGGTATTTTTCGGATTGTGATCGATCGAAAGCACATCAAGCTTCTGGTTTATGCACACGATCGCCCGCGAATCCCTAGCACACTCAGTAGAACCTATCGTTCTTTATCATAACGGTGACCACCGTCGATCCGGCTATCCGTTCATTCAGCGATTTGTCGTTCAGCATAGCCTCGTCAATGTCCAGAAAGCCACGTCGCAGAGCCATCTTCACATCGTCCCGAAACCGGTAGCGCTTGTGCGAGTCCTCCATAAGGATGTGCCAACCTTGCATACAGCTCGATCCCATCTTGTAGCAGTCGTTCTGGCAGAAGAATTACTTTTTCGAGGTTTCCAGCAGGAAATTTTCCAGCAGGAAATTTTCCAGCAGCAAAATTCAACCGATCAGTTTGATCCGGTGCTGATGGGTCGGATCGAAGCCCGATTACTTTCGTTGTCTCCGCCGTTCCTTCACATATGATTTGTGTGCTGCAGGAAATTTGAAGAAATTCGTGAGAAAATCTAGATAAAAATATACGGATTAGCTTATCAGATGAGGATGAACAAATGCGGTAGTACGTACGATTACAGAAAAAACGACTCTTTCACTTCCTTAACAAGATTCAAGGCCAACGATTTCCACCGCACGAGCGAATCTTGAAGCGAATTTGTACTTAGTAAATAAACAGCTGTCAATATCTTCCTTACAGAAGCAGTGTTGCCAGATATACCAGATCAATTTGTATTTGACCACTCATACACTTCAAATATATAAAGGCACAAATCAGGGTACAAATATAATCGTTCGGCACAATACCGGAAGAATGCGGCACACTGTAAATAGCGTTAATACAATAGCAGCTGTGCCGAGTGACTTACCCCTTGATTTTTGCACGGTTTGCTGAGTGCGGCTTTTTTTCAGTTCGTTTATTTGGCAGGCTCAAATGTTATAAAAATAACTTAGCGGAGCCGAGTAACATAGAATACCAATTTTGGTACTCAAAATACAAAAAAAAATATATATATATATATAAATATATACAAACATATTTTATCATATGATTTTTCTTGGTGGCGATCGAAGCGGTGACAAAGCGGTCTTCTCCCGTGCACGCAACTTCTTTCTTTCCCGAATTTGTTCCTCATTTTCATTGAACCCGAATCGTGATCGCTGCTGCTGCTTCTGAACATCGTTTCCCGTTGCATGCTCTCCGCTACTCTCGTCGGTCGTTGGGGTCGTCACGTCCATTTCGTTTTCTTCATTCAACATCTCCAACCCCGTGTCCGTTTCCTGATCACTAATGACAAACGACGCACCTTCCACCACTACACCAGCATACGTACTGCTGCTGTTTTGTTTTCTTTCACTTTGCTTTCCTTTTTCCTTCAGTTGCTTCTCCGGTTCCTTCCGAGCCTTCCGCTTGGGACAGGAAAGCTTCCGGTGTCCGTCCGCTTTGCACAGAAAACATTTATCTTTGTTGCCATCATAAAAAATATTTCCTTTGCGATTGAAGAAATGTAATGACGTGGGGATTTCCTTCTTCACATCCATATATATACCGCGTATCCCTGTATATACCTCAAAACACAGATCAGTTGGAAATTTCTCCCGGATGATGCGTTTAATTTTCCCATATTTCCCCAGCACTTTATCCAGCTCGTTGTCGGGTACCTCTGGTGGCAAGTCATACACACGCACATATTGAATGAATTCACCAGCATGCGACATGCGTACTTTTGCCGTCGTTCCATTCGCATAATGGAAGATTAAATCCTCCGAATTGAATGTCAGAGCATGGAGCATCGCTTCCTCTGATTTGAACTTCATGAAGACTCCCCTTTCATCACCAATGCGATAAACAGCTTCCATTTCAGCCGGATCCGCGTCGAGTGCTTTGGCGAAATTTACTATCTCTCCGATGTTTGGTTTAGCATCACAATGGCTGAAGCTAAACTTGATGGTATTTTTTACTTCACACATCTTGCACCGTAGCAATAAAAGGCACCGAACTGCTAGCAACGAACAAAGAGCAACTATATAATAGCAAGTCTCGAAAACAGTCTATCGCGTGGTTCACAACGAAATAAAAAAATCGACTGCTGCTGTAGACAGCTGTGGGACAACTGGAGTGCGGCTTAACAACTGTGATTTTTATGATGTTTGTACGAATGCAATATGGAAATGCCTATTAAAAATATATATGGTTAAATAGTCGAATGAATTTTTTGGTTGGTGAATGAAAGAAACAAATAATTAATCAATAAATATTCTAATTTTCATGATTTATTCTGAAAAAAAGTACAGTAGATTCGGTAAAACATATACTGAGCGCTATGGTAAACTTAACTGATCGTTAAGTAAAATTTACAGTCCACAGGTCAGTAAATTTTGACAGCCCACAAGCGAAGAAAATTTACCGAAGGGATTTTAAATTGAAAAATTATCGAATGGATTACCGAATGTTCAGCTGTTCCATATTCGGTAAAAATTTACAGTATACACACTTAAAACCAAAATCTGTCCTCGGTGAAATGTATTGCCGTAGCCGTACCGTAAACTGGAAATATGCCGAAATTTCGTTGAAGATACATGATTCGCCGAATTGTTGGAGGCGAACCAGCCTAAGGCTGAAAGCCTCCTAAATAAAGCTAAATAATAATAATGATTCGCCAAAATTTTAAGTTTTTTTTCAGCGAAATTTCGGTAAAGTCAATCATTTACCAAGACTCGTCAGAGGTTATCACTGATCTAGTTGGCAAAGTGTCAAACTACCGAAGTCTTAAAAACTAATTACCGAACTCTACGGCATATTCATTTCATTTTGCCGAAAGTACTTAAAATACTTGTCAAATCAGAAACGGCCATATTCCATGTTTTCAAATTGACGAGAATACGGAAAATAGCTGTCAGAACGAAACGAACTGTTGATAAGTGCACGCGTGTGTTATATTGTGTGGAAGCTGCTGAAAACGTTAAAATGGAGGAAGTACATCGTCAGCTGGATGCGGAGGAAGTTAGTGTAAAAAGTCGAGTACTTCAAACCCTGCGTAAGTAATAAATTTGTTTATTTCTTTTTAGACTAATTCTAGACCGAAAAACTGTATTGTTTGCTTCTTTTGTAAGCAGCAGGTTCCAGGTTATGTTGACGCCTTACAACGTCATGTCAACTACCATTTAAAGCAAAACCATTTTCGTGCTGATGTTATTCTATATAACTGCACATTTTCAAAATGCAAACTGAGCTATTCCCACTTTACTTCGTTGAAGCGACACATTCTTTATTCACATCCGCTTAAATTGAGTAAACAACCGTCAAACATTCCGATTATTGACGACCCTTGTGCATCACCAAAAAAAATGAGGTTAGGTTTTCCGACTTCTCTTGAGTTTTCTGAACCTCAGTTGGAACAAATGAACGTGCCGGATCAAATGAATCCTTGTGAAATATCAGTGGAAGCAATAATTAAAGTAGCCTCACTAGGAATTTGTCGACTTTTGACAGACGTCTCTTTGCCTCAAACGAAGGTCGAAGAAACTATAAAGCTCTGCGAAAACTTAATCTTACTGACAACGCAACACCTGCAGCAAGAAACAAGGCTGTATTTAAAAAGTATTAATATTGATACTAATTCTGACGGTGTGATGAATTTTCTTAACGTATTTCACCTTCCTGATTTTTTCGCAAATGTGTCTACTCGAAACAAGCAAGCACAATATTTGGAGGAAATGGCCATTACTGTACCCAAACCAGAAGAAAAAATGCTTTCGTATCGTGAGGATGTTCGTCACGTCTATGGACATCATAAAGTAATACGCGTAAACGAAACGTTCTCTTAC